CTCCTCATCATGACTGTCTGTTTTTCATCTTTGATCTTATGTTACTTTTCCTGGTCCTTCTGAAGGGTCCTGTAGAAATATCTCTCATTTTGAATGAAAGGAACAAGACACATTGCAGGAAGTCAAGTAGAAAAATTTCTGGGGTGTAGGTAACTGACCTGGGGACTGAGTGTTGGGCTGATGGTGTCTAAAGGTGAGAATCACCCTAGAAAGGAGGATATAAACCCTCGACTGGACTAAAAAGGGCTTTCCAGGTCTGATGGGTACTACTGATACCAGGATCACCTTCTGGAAATGAAGAAAGGATGGGAGAGAGACAGGGAACAGGGAACATGTGACTACTTTGGTTCAAATCTGGGAGAGAAAGGGGTAAGTCCAATCTTGGGATGATGGAGAGACGTTTCCAGGGAGTTATGGGCAAAGAGACCATGCAGTAGGGCTGATTGGGAGTATGTTTATTTGTTTGTATGGGGAGGGATAGGGTTATCATGAACACGAAGTCTCCATCAAATGAGTCATGGGTTACTGCTTTTACCTTTTGGACAATTTTAATTTGAATTGTATATCTTCTATCCTTTAAATAACAGTGAAAAATCCTCACATATCATATTATTTACTTATTGTAATTAGGTGACTTGTCTAAACTTTTCTTTAGTGATTCGTCCTCCTGGTCTTCATGTGAATGTCTCTGTAGGGTTGAAGGCAGAGGCAGATTCTGGGCTGCAAATGTCCTAGGAGAGCTTGGTCAGAGCTTTCTGAAGAACATCTCAACAGCCATGAAGCAATTAAGTCTCTATCTTGATCTGGGTAGAGCTATGTTGGTGTGTGCACACGTTCACTTTATAAAATTTATCTAGCTGTACAGTTGCAATTTGTGAATTTTTAAGGTGTGTATGTTATACTTTGATCCAAAAGTTAAGCAAAAACTGAGGGAGCAGGCAGTAATGTTAAATTTTTTGGATAGGTCAAGTAAAATAAAGAATGAAAAGAGATCCCTGGCTTGGCAACAGTTCATTGATGGAGATCATTGTTGATCTTAGCAATAAAATTATCAGTAGCAGTAGATTGAAGAGTGAAGAAAAAAAGACAACCAACGAAATCAAACATCCTGTCATTTGAAAAGACTAATAAAATATGTTAACCTTTAGCATTGTTAATCAAGAAGAAGAAATGGGGAAAATAAAAGCTTCAAGGGAATGAAAGGTATTACTAATTATAATTTGCCAGGGCTAGAGAGAGGAAAGATGGTCAGCTCACCAGCTGAAATGGCCCTCAGAAGAAAGATGGGTTTATACAGAGCAGCGGAGGAAGACCCTGGATCAGAGGAGAGTTGAGAGAGGAGAGATTCTGGACCCTCAGGCTCTTCTTCAGCTCTTTAAGCAGTGATCCTCAACTCTGAGTTTGTAGCATCCAGAAGACACACAGCAGTGTTAATGATATCCTGCATTATTTTTTCCACACTTCACTACCATTCTACTTTAAAAAGCTTGCCCTGGTCTTCTCATGATTTATCATTGAAGATGTCTCACCCAGTCACTATACACTGCGACGTTCTTTTAATCTGACTATGAAGCAGAGCTCACTACTTTACTCAGTCTGTTCCATTATAAGGTGTTTCTTTCATTGAGGGTCTTTTTGTTTCTTTCAATAGTGGCTTTTCTGTTTCAATAGAGATCACAATTTGTAATCACATTCCAGAAATTCGGCTTTTTAGAAAACTTCTGAGGACTCTCACCAAGTCTGCTGTTGGTACCTGGGTGTGGAGTCAATCAATGCTTGCCTCTCCAGGGGAAAAATGGAAGTGGCAAATGTATGTCACATGGTTTGGATTGAGAACCAGGTGAATGTTTGTCTAGTGCTTGGTTAACAGAGAAAATGTTACGGCAGCTAATGGGATCCTGAGTCCAGTATTCCATCATTCTGATATACCCAATTATTTAGAAAGGGACAAGGCCCCTGATGAGAAATTAAAAATGGTTAAGTAGAACGAGTGTCCAAGGGTAGGGATATGGGAACTTCTTAGTCTGGAAGCCCCTTATTGAAGGGAGGGACAGGAAATGATAGTTGAGGGCAGGCTAGTCTTGAGGCTTGGTAATTAAGCACCCTTCATTTCAGATTGCCTGGACAATTGGGAGTTAGTTCTTGGGCTCTATAAGGCTACTGTAAAGTCAACACAAGCCACATAATTGGTGTGGTGATCCACTAGGCTGAAGCCTTGTGAGATGCAATATTAGGGTAATAAGAGTTTGAGGAAGGAGAAGATCAATCGTACTTAATATAGTCTGATTCACACTTGGGACCGTGAGCCCAGATCAGACACCAAGCCAAATTCCACGTCTCTAGGAACAGAAATGATCTGATAGTCACAGGAGAAACAATTGAAGTAGCAACTTAGCTTGGATAAAGAATATTTGTCATACGCACTTTCACTATTTCAATTTGGCAAGAGTTTTTCTATGCCAGCAGAGGTGTTAACCATTCTTTAGCTTTCTCATTAGAGATGGGTTTTTGGCAAATCTAAGGGAGCACTTTGCACAAAAGTGACGAAGCAAAAAGCAAGGAAACAAACAAAAAAATTCAAACAAACAAAACAAAACCATAACCTTGAGAATTAACCTGTAACGAACAGATAGTGAGCTCCTCCTCATGGTCAGATTAGAACGTTGCTGTTTATAGTCACTGGGAGGCACATCTTCAGTGACAGATGATGGGAGGAAAAGCTTTAGGCAATACAGGGTTAAGCTGCCTTTTTTTTTTTCTTTTAACTTGGCCTCCAAGTGACACTTTTCCATTTGAATATGCTTTTTAGAGCAATCTAGAACTACAGGATTAAAAAACTGTCTCCTTTTTTATTAGGTATATTATAGTCAGCAGCTAGGTACCTCATATCATGCTAAGTGTTTTTAAATAGCTTCTCATTTAGATCTCAAAACATTTCTATGAATCAAGAACTATTATCCCCATTTTAACAAGGAGCAAGTAACACTTGGAGAGTTTAAATAACTTGACCAAGGCAAAACAGCTAGCAAGTGACAGATTAGGGTTTTCAGTCTTGGGAATATGTATCTAGAACCAATGCTTTCAGCCACTTTGCTATCCTGTCTCTTGAAGATGTAGGACCAACCCTACATTTTGAGTGGAGTGCATCGAAATATGCAGGATTTCTAGGCTGAAGTCAAAGGAAAGAGAAACTAGAGGTTCTTTGAAGTTCAACCATAGTCTCCCAAGGCTGAGTGATACCACCAGAGGAAGAAGGGCCCCTTGTAAGGATGTTCTCAGATGGTTGTGGGAACGTGCACATGCCCAAACCCCATGTGAAGTCATGGAAACAATCCATCTGAAGCTGGAAAGTAGCTTAAGGGATATCACACAGGAATGGAATGGTAGTCAACACTGACCCCTTATCTTCAGGTTTATCCAGCCAGAGTATCACATGTTATATGACATGGTAACTCCTGATTGAGGCAGATGGAGACTGAATGCAGCAATAAACAGAAATGAACAAGCTCCTGGCTGTGCAGAGTAGTGCACATCTGTTCCATCAAAACTGGCTGAGTGAGACTCCTAACTTTTTTTTTTTTTTTTTTTTGAGGAAGATCAGTCCTGATCTAACAACTGCTGCCAAGCCTCCTCTTTTTGCTGAGGAAGACTGGCCCTGAACTAACATCCATGCCCATCTTCCTCTACTTTATATGTGGGACACCTACCACAGTATGACTTGCCACACGGTGCCATGTCTGCACCCGGGATCCCAACCGACGAACCCTGTGCCACCAAAGCGGAACATGCGCACTTAACTGCTGCGCCGCCCGGCGGCCCCGACTCCTAACATTTTATGTGCCATTGCTCATAGTTGTTTCCTTGATCATTAGTCTTGAGCTGGATGGACACTCTGGGAGTCACAGGTGTCAATAGGAGTTCGAAAGGCCTGGACTTGAATCTTAAATTTACCACATACTCGTTATGTAATCTTGGACAAAATATTTAACCTCGTATTAATTAGATCAATTCATATGGAAAGGATGTTTGTCCTATTTTTTAAATGGTTAAATACACTTAGATTGTGAATACTACATTTTTCAACATACTACTGATACATACTATGCTCATTAAAGAGTGCTTTCCTTTTAAAAGATAAAGCTTCATTGTTCTTTGGAATGTCTTGGTATTTTATCATGAAAAGTTATCCATATTGAAGAACCATAAAAACCTATGAGGGGTTCATCTATAAAGGAGCCCTAAAGTTTTACTTGTAGCTATTTAATGTGTTCATTGAATCTAGCTCAACAGGAAATCTGGTTGAAACTAATAGAAAGTAGGGATTGTAGGGATTATAAATATTTCCAGAGAGTTTAGTATCCATTTGGAAAATTATAATTTTGTTCTCTAATGACCTTATTTTCCTGTATCCATTAATCTGTCTTCAATCAGAAGGATGCTTCATTTATCTTTTCCTAGGCACTATACTGAGGATACAAAATATGACATGTTCAATCTCAGGAAGTTCATTGTTTCATTCAACACTTTTTAAACATTAGGAACTGAACATACAACAATAAAAGAAAAGTCTTTCCTCTGATTTATCATTCATTCATTCAACTGCTATAATGAGTACACATATCTTCTTTTAATGGACTCGTGCACCACTCTTATGGGTCAAATACTTGATAGAAGGTGTAAGGTCATGAACAAGACACACATGACTGAAAACGATAAAGTAATAGCTAGGGTATCAGAATTGACCATTTAGGTCCCTCAGAGGTCAGTATGGGAGATTCTATGAAAGCTCAGAAGTTACTTAATTTAGCTTTGGATGGGATGAGGGAGGAGATAGAGCAGAGGACTTCTCAAAGGAGGCAACCAGTAGGCTGATCTTTGAATGACAATTAGAAATTTGTAGGGCAAAGAATACTGAGGAGAAAAGAACGTGGAGCAGGAGAACTTCGTCAAATGTCAGTTTTCTGATTTTGTGGTCCACTGAGCTAAGAATACCACCAGGCTCTCCCAACACCACAACTGGGAACAAGTCTTACAGGATTGCATCCTTTTCTTACATCATTTTGTGCATTAACAGGAAAGTAGCCTCATCTATGATGCTGGGGCCACCCTATAACCACACAATGAAAAACCCTGCCACCTTCTTCCTTGTGGGCATCCCAGGTTTGCAGTCTTCACATCTTTGGCTGGCTATCTCACTGAGTGTCATGTATACCATAGCCCTGTTAGGAAACACCATCGTAGTGACTGTAATCTGCATGGATTTCACACTACAAGAACCCATGTACCACCTCCTCTGTGTTCTTGCTGCTGTAGACATTGTTATGGCCTCTTCTGTAGTGCCCAAGATGATGACCATCTTCTCCTCAGGAGACAACTCCATCAGCTTTAGTGCTTGTTTCACTCAGATGTACTTTGTCCACGTAGCCACAGCTGTGGAGACAGGGCTGCTGCTGGCCATGGCTTTTGACCGCTATGTAGCCATCTGTAAGCCCCTACGCTACAAGAGAATTCTCACGCCTCAAGTGATGCTGGGAATGAGTGTGGCCATCATCACCAGAGCTGTCATACTCATGACTCCATTGAGTTGGATGGTGAGTCATCTACCTTTCTGTGGCTCCACAGTGGTTCTCCATTCCTACTGTGAGCACATAGCTGTGGCCAAGTTGGCATGTGCTGACCCTATGCCCAGTTTTCTCTACAGTCTGATTGGTTCCTCGATTATTGTGGGCTCTGATGTGGTCTTCATTGCTGTCTCTTATAATCTGATTCTCCGGGCAGTATTTGGTCTATCCTCAAAGAATGCTCAGTTGAAAGCTTTAAGCACATGTGGCTCCCATGTGGGGGTTATGGCTCTGTACTATTTACCCGGGATGGCATCCATCTATGTGGCCTGGCTTGGGAAGGACATAGTGCCTTTGCACACCCAAGTGCTGTTAGCTGACTTATACCTGGTCATCCCACCCACTTTAAACCCCATCATCTACGGCCTGAGGATCAAACAAATACGAGAGCGTACATGGAGCATGCTGCTGTACTGCCTCTTTGACCACTCCAACATGGGTTCATGGCACAAAGTCTATTGAGGCCTTGAGCATCCCAGCTAACTTCAGGGATGCCTTAGAGATCTGTGAAGCTGGTTTGCTTTACCTGGCACCATAGAAGTTCTAAGATGAAGCTGTAAAGTGTATCTTTGCATAAGTTTTTAATTTCTTCGAAGAATGTGAATGAAATGATTAATTTTCTGACAGTAGGTTTAACAGTTTCAATCAACTAGCATGTAAATCATAAATAAGTTTGGGCAGGGGATACAGACGTAGGGTTATTATTTCTTTAACTTCTGCTCCATATTTCCAACTTAATATCCTACAAGTTCCTGAGCAGTAGATACCAATTGTTTGGTCCCCTAACACCTGGCAGTTCATCTCCTTATGTGATTACAGGGAAGTAAAATTTAAAATAAAACCCTGCCATCTGGCCTGTTGATGAATACACTCAACTTGGGTCATGTGCTCTCACCTGAACCAGAGTCATTCTCCATGCAAAATGTATTCCAGTTTATCCGCGGAGATATAAACTTGGATCACTGATGGTGGCTATTTTCCAACATATGAACTTAGAAAGAAAAATCTGTTCTACAGCAAGAGAAGCAGATTAGCAAGATGGAATGAGGAAACTGAGTCACTGGTTCTAATTCATTTGGATTCATTTTGGGTGCATCCTTGTTATTAAGTCCTGTAAGATATCTCTATATCCTTTTAATAGATCCCCTATTGTCAAGCTAGCTGAAGTCAATGTACTAATCATGATATTTTTGATTTTAAGCAACAGAAGATAGTGCAATGTGAGTTTGGTTTTTGATATTTTTCTCTTTGCTTCTGAGTCCTGTTTGTGTAACTGACTTGTAAGACACAAAAGACAAGGTTCAAATCTGATACAGTTCTTTCTTTCTGGACACCTCAAAGGATGTGTGCTCTGGGATGAAAAGGTCAGTGGAGAACAATATCAATGATGAAGCTGAAATGTCATGACTCTTCTTCAGGTCACCAGATACTTAATTGGTTTTTGTTTTTATTTTCCCCTTTCAGAAAGTCTTAAACTGAGTAATCAGTATATGTTAAAAGAAAAAGATTTCATATATATTAGATATATAGACATTTCACTCTGGTGCATTTGAAAATGTTAATAGAAGATAATTTCCTAATAATATTGATACCAAGTTATTGTATCTGAGTCTTAATATCTCCTTTCTACTGATGAGGGAAACAATGTTAAATCATAGAGGGTATTGAAAATTAAATAAAATAATGAGTGGAAAGCACACCATACAACATTCATATATTGCATGTACTTAAAAAATACACACAATAAATGTCTAATTTTCAACATTTTAAGGTGTAGTTTGAGGCACTATTGAAACCGCAGTCCTGTGTCGATAAGTACTTAAGTGTTAATTTTTCCAAACAGATCAGCTGCTTAACAACTCAGCACCCGCAACTTTTGCTAATATTGAACTTGTTTACTCACTAGACTGTATTCTATTTCTGAATACCAGCAGAGTAGAAATCAGCCTCTACAGCTCTGATACTGATGCCCTGAGGTCCCAAAGTGGTAAAAAAAAAAAAACTCTCCTCCCCTTGCCCCCCCAACATAAAAACAAATCAAGATCAGGAAGTGGTTAAGCATATTTGATAAGATTTTGATTTTGAAAAGTGCTATTATTCTTTCTCCGTAAACTCCCAAAGGATTGGCTGTACCCATTAAATCAAAGAATATTAGACGTATTAAAGAATCTGATGCAAAGCCACAAAGGTATAGTCCAGCCTGCACTCAAAACAGACATTTCTTGCCAGCATTTTCATCAGAACAAAGCTGCTTGCCAGTTTTGTGTTTCATTCATGTTAGTATTCCATGAAACTACCTGGGACACACCGCTGGTACTCAAATATTGAACTACATATTTCCCAAAGTGGACTGGTTCCCTGCCATGGCTGCCTCCAAACAGAAAGTCCTGTGCTTCTCCCAGTATATTCAGATCCAACCCCTGCCCCATCTCAAGAAGCAATGTGTGCTCACTTAACTACTGCCTGGGACCCACAGCGGACTCTCAGAGTTTGGATCTTAAGAGATGACAACCAATCCTGCTTGAAAAAAAGGGAGACTGGATTTCCTGTGGGGAGTTACAAACCCAAGGGTGTGCCCTCTGTCTCTACTTTTTGCAGGACCCAAGCATCTCACCTTTTTAGTAGCCTTTCCCTTTAAGGCTCAGGAATTTCACCCTTTGGTTTCTCTGCTAGTAAAACAACTATGGGCCAAGCTCATCCCTGCCCTATAATTAATGATCACTTCAATTCAGAAATGCAACCCCAGGCATTACAGGCGGTGGTGCAGGCACTCTACTCTCCATACAACTATCTGCCTCTTCCTCTTCTGGAGGACTTTTGAAATTATCCATCAAATTAGTTGCTGAACAGGGATATGGTTTAGTACCATCTAGTCTTTCATGCACCTATGAGGCAAGAAGAGCTTACTTTTGTTTTGATTCAAAGCATATGAATGAAAATGTCCTCATTTAGATATTTATCAACACACACACATGCAGAGTGCTAGACTGGGGCTACAATGATGAACCAGAAAAATAAGGTCCTTGTCTTCATGGGGTTCTTAGAAGGGAGTGTCAGCAACTACCCTAGAGAAAAGGGTTTACATATACTTAAGAACTTTGGTCTTCTTCTTTAGTCTCAACAATCAGACAGTGTGAAATAAACAATGTGTTTAAACTTGTAATTCTTTTAATAAGGAATCATCAGCTTATAAAAATCAAAGAAACCCCACAATAACACATTACAAATGAAGCCATTCCACTCCTTAATGCATTCTAGATTTGAATGAATTTATCACTAATAATATTCCTTTTCTAGGAAACTTCCAAGATTGGTCCTAATAAAACCGTAGTAAAAGAATAACATTGATTTGACCTTTAGCCTCTTCTGCTAAGTGTCCAGGGACATAACTGGAAGCAGTTCCTCAAGATCCATTTCTCAAATCTATAAAAAATTCCCCAGGGAGGCCTCTCATAAAGACACAAGGTCCCTCTAATGTTGGTCAGCTCAACCCTTTGCAAGACCAGGTCTGTGACTTACCAGTTCATTCCACTCCAAGAAGATGATGGAAACTTCTTCCCTCTACTTCTAATAGTCAAGGAACAATTTGGAAACATGGTGGGCAGAATGAGTTTATTTCTCCATTTTGGCCAGTTTTACCTCCTTCATATATGAATAGCCAATACAATAAAAGTAGAATGAGAATGTTTGCTATTCTTTATTGCAGAAATTACTTTGCTTCTACCTATATCTAACCTAGTATCTACTTTGCTGCTCAATCCTAACCCACAACAGCCACTACCTTCAAGTATAGACTACCTCAGAGGTTGTGTTACACATCATCAGAGTGACAATATGTAAGGTGTATGTTGTAGCCCTTGCAATAGGCAAAGCCGTTAGTTCTCATGTGCTTCCCTTGAAGTTTGTTTCTAGCCACAATAAGTGCCACATAACACTATTAAGAGCTGTAATGAATTATTTTTGCCACGTGCAACAACTACTTTAAGGTCAAAAGCCCAGATATATAGTTTTAATTCCCTTTCATTGTACATATGGCTCCACAACTGGCTTTCTGTACCTAGTCCAGTTCTCTCTCCCCACACTTTCCTGCTGCTTTCTTCCTTCTGTCATAAAAGTAGAGAAGAGAAAGGCAGAATATTATGTAGTTACCAGAACCATGAAGATTCCCTTCATCACATAAAACAATATGAACTCTGGCCCAACTAGCTTGTGAGTGAGCCTTCCCAACAATGCATTTGTTTTACATTTTTCTCTATTATTTCCATTCTGTGCCCTAATGTCACTGTCAAAAATTCTAATCCAAAGACAAACACATATAACAGATGCACAATATATCACTGTGGCCTGAAGTTTTCACTGGAATGGGCACCTTTCTGTCTAAAGGGGTCTAGACTGTCAGAAAGGCCCCAAGAAACAAAGTTCCTGCTTTCAAATGCTGACTGTCAGAAGTTGAGATAGGAAGGTGACACAGGCAAAATCCATGGGTGACCTTCCTCCGTCCCTAAGAAAGGACAAAAGTACAGGATGGATCTGAGATCTTCACAACAATCCTGTGAGGTAGGAGAGTATGCAGCTACTGTACTCACTTTTCCACTGAGGACCCTTGAAAATCTTTCAAACATGTGGGGTGTTTCAGACCTGAATGTAATGAATGACATGCAGACATGTGACCTGAGAAGCGAGTGTGTCAATCTTGTTTCATTTGAGTGTGTGAAATATTTTATAATCTTCTTTCAGAAGCTTTGTGAGAAATAACTTGCTGCATTAAGGACATTTCAGTTTCTTCATCCATAAAGGGAAAATAGAAACAAGGCTCACAAGATTTCTGATCCTGACAGTTAGAGAAAAAGGCAGGACCAGAACTCAGGTCTCCTTAGAGTGTGGGATAAAGTGATTCACCTAGCTCGTGCTCAGAAACCACGGCCCCCGGGGTGGTCTTGGCAATGCTGCAATGCATTTATTTCTCTAGTTAGCATATCAGAGAGCTGGGGTCAATTATGGGTAGCTCAGAAGTAGCAAAACTCAGATGAAGCATCATCCCACTGGTATCAGCACAGCAAACGGCTCTGGACATGGACAGTATTCTTTGGTTTATTGGTCAACCCTATCCAAAGGCTGTCCTGCCCGTTGGATCTACTTCGTCGTCCTTACTAACTTAATTATGGCACCAAGAAGGGTGGGGAAGAGGGGCATGAGCTACAGAAAGTACAGAGTCCTGATCCTGAGAAGTACCTGACCTTCACCATCAGCCACACTTCCCTCATAGGAGTGCATTGCTCATTTGATGGAGCCTCTGCTTTTTCTCCTGAATGATTTAGAGACATTTTGGTCCAGGAGCAACAGAGCACTGAGTCAGGCAGTGGAATCCCTGGATTCCAGACTCAGCTCAGTTCAACGGAACCCTTGTCAGTGGCAGGGCCCTCCAAGACCCCTGCAGTCCAGGTGAAATTCCAAGGACTCTG